CTCAGTTAATCTCGTATGGTGGGGCGATTCCATCTATAACTTCCCGTCATAGAGGATACTGTTTAAGGTTGGGGGGGTTCTTCGGGTTTATCGCTACCTTTATTGGAGTGGCTGAGAATATTTTCCCTGTATCTGTATCTGACTGAGACTGTAACCTTAAGCAAATGCTTCACTTCCGGAGTTAACAGGAAGACTGGGGAAGCTAAAAGTTTTACTGTTTTCTGCTCTGTATTCCAATGTTCTCTCTTCTCTTCTAGTATTTCCTTCTCTCTCATTTCCCTTTCCCAGTCACAAGATGCTGTCTTAATATTACTAGTACTAAATCGTGGTGCATTGTCAGGACTTGTTTTTTCTTTCTGAGATGCAGTCTCCCGCTGTCGCCCAGGCTGGAGTTCAGTGACACAACTTTGGCTTACTGCAACCTCCGCCTCCCGAGTTCAAGTGATTTTCCTGCCTCAGCCTCCCAAGTAGCTGGGATTACAGGCATGCGCTACCACACCCAGCTAATTTTTGTATTTTCACTAAAGACGAGGTTCACCATGTTGGCCTGGCTGATCTCCTAACCTCATGTGAGCCACCTGCCTCGGCCTCCCAAAGTGCTGGGGTTACAGGCATGAGCAACTGTGTCTGGCTGTCAGGATGTTTTTTAATTTGATATTGTTAGTCCCTGGCTCCAATTCTAGAACAAGTTCACCTTTCGATGAAAAAGAGATATGAGCATTATGGATGTTGAGGAGATCACAGCCCAAACGACTGACAGGGGCTGCAGGCACATTAGAAACACAAGGGACCAACTAAGCATGTCACACTTGGAGCCCAGGGCGGGGGATCTGAACCCAAAGAAACGGGAAGGTTTAGGTTTAGACTTAAAACATGAGATAGTTTTATAGACACACCACCTTGTTCATTCTTTCATTACTCTGAGGTACGGGGTTTCTAAATTAGGTGGGATTTATAATAGAGTCACTGCCTGTGTCAATTCAGGCAGTTGGAAGCTCATGGTTTATCGTTATATTAATAATGATAAACATGTTTTTTATAATATATGTAATATAAAACAGTATAATAAAGATAAACATATTATATTAATCTCTCCCAATGTGTCAGGGTAGAATATTTGGAGCAGTGAAGCCCCTGTACTTCCTGGGAGCACCCCTAGTCTTCCTGAGTTGCATTTTCTTGCCTTTTCTTTCATTTCAGCCTAATGCAATCCCTGTTTAGGTGTCCTGGTCTTTTACAGTAGTAACAGACTGGGAGGGAAGAGTCCTCAGACCTAAGAGCTTAAAATCTTTCTGGGCCTGAGATGTTTGAAAAGTTAATTGCTTTAACTGTAATGCATAACTTGGGCAATTAGTTTTTCCTTTTTATCACAGTGCAGGATAATTGGTCAGCTAAGTTAACTAGTTCATTAGTTCTGGCTGTGGCCCAATTTATCATGTTGCATTTTATAAGGGTGGCTAAATCATCAACTAGTCTAAGAAATTTGCATTTAATAATGTAGCATTTGTATTGTTTTCATAGCAATCAGCTGACATCCCACAATATTGTCTAAAAGTTTTATCAAAACGTGTGAAATAATCTAAAACTGATTCATTTGGGTTCTGGCAGCATTGTTGGATTTTATTCCAATCCACAACCCTTTGGAACACTGAAGGAATGATATTTAACAGAACAGTAGTTAGTTCCTGAGCATCTTTGCACCTGTCTTCAGGATTCTGGGAGGCTGGTTCGTTTGGTCTTCCTGGCCCTTTAGGGGTCAGGTCTGCTACAATGTCTGACCACTGTGTGTTTCCAGCCACTTAGCTTTAGCTTCTGAGACCAGTATGTGGACCAGCTGATAAAGGTCTGAACGACCTAGGTCATAGGTTCTGATAATGAGCTCAAACTCTTGAGCAAACCCAACTGGATCTTACGGGAGGCAGGAAATTCTTTGTGCTTCGCAACTCAGACGTGGACCAGGGTTCATAGACAATCACAGGGGTTCCCCTAACTGTTAACGGTTGTTCCCGAAACAGGTTGATCATGAGAGACGTCCCTATGGTGTCCCCCTTTTCCACATCTTCCAGATGAGAGGCTGCCACTGGGGTTACCAGAGAATCGGCAGGAAGTTAGAGTCCCTACTGCCTTTGGTTCAGTGAGTGGCAGGCAAGGAGGAGAATATGGTAGATTGGAACCTGAAGGAAAAGGAGGGGAGAGGTCTGGTCCAGGAAGTTCAGAGGGGTAAGGGTAGAGTGGGGGTGTAGGTGGAGGTAGGGGAGGCACTAAGGGGGAAGGGATTTGGAGGATTTCTTTGAGATAAAAGATTATAGAGAGTTCTTAATTGGCAGTTTAAGTTATTTGTTGGCTTCCTGTAGCTACTTTCATGGTACCTAGAGAGTAGCAAGTGGGGGGAAAGATCCTTTAGGTATGCATAGAGAGATTTGGTATTCTTCAGGTACCATGAAAGTAGCTCTCCCATTCTGGTTTTTTAGTTTTTGTGCCCACGTTTTCCATTCTGGTTTGCGGGCACACTAAATTGGGCATCTCAAAAGATCCCCATTTAGGCCTTTGTAACTTGGAATCTACTTTGGTTATAGTGGTCCACTTGGTTAAATACTTGCATGACGATTTGCCATAAGTATTTTGCGTGTACCCTGCCGGAGTTTCTAAAGGTGGAACTTCATGTTCCTCAGCTGCTGGGGTTTTAGCTAATTTAGAGGCCTCATTCCCTATAATTTAAGTTTCCCCTTCGGATTCAATCAAGTTGGGAAGTGTGTGAGACCCAAAGTGTGTTGCTTGGGGACCTGGCTTTTCAGGGCCATTATTCCTTGAATCAGTTCAGTCCACCCTTGTTGCAGCTACCTGGTAAAGTGTGTCAGGGGCTCCAGGTGTGGGAGGGGTCAGCTCCTTATATGCACCCACCAGATGAGATTAGACCTTAAATACATTCTTCTGAGGGGAACCAGGTGAGATTAGACCTTAAGTACTTTCTTCTGAGGGGAAACTAGATGAGATTAGACCTTAAGTACGTTCTTCTGAGGGGAAACCAGATGAGATTAGACCTTAAATACGTTCTTCTGAGGGAAACCAGATGAGATTAGACCTTAAGTAGAACCAGATGCGATTAGACCTTAAGTACGTTCTTCTGAGGGAAATCAGATGAAATTAGACCTTAAGTACTTTCTTCTGAGGGAACCAGATGAGATTAGCCCTTAAGTACGTTCTTCTGAGGGAACCAGATGAGATTAGCCCTTAAGTACGTTCTTCTGAGGGAAACCAGATGAGATTAGACCTTAAGTACAGTCTTCTGAGGGGAACCGGCTCAAAGCTGCTGCACATCCTAAGGAGGTTTCCTCCCAGACACCTTCACATGATTCTCAGTCACCTGAGAATGCCCTGAAGGGCTGAGGGGAGTAAAGTGCTCTTATTTCCTTAGAAAATTCCACACTCATAACCTAGAGGGTTTGGAATTGGTCAAATCCGGTAGCGGAAAGGATTGAAACACACACACACACACAACCCAACAAGACGGAAACAACAAAACAGCTAAGCAAAACTAACAATGATCACACAACTTACCTGATTTCTGAGCACTCAAGTGTAAGCAGAAATTAACAACAGCGGGTTGTTAATGCTAACTTTAGTCATTTAAAAAGAATTTGTAAGACAAAATCCCAAACCAGTTCCTTACCTAGTGATAGGAGCCCAAGCGGAACAGTGCTCTCCACAGATGCAGAAGCAGACAGGCTGCCTTCCTTGATGGAAGCGAGTGGAAACTCCCAGGAAAAAAGGAGATTTTTTTTTTTTTTTTTTTTGAACAGCAAATAAACCTCTGACCCCCAACTGAAAAACCCTGGAAGATCAGGGATCCCTGGAAAAAAGAGGTCCCAGATTTCAGCAAATTGTCCTATTGGTTTGGGCTACAAGGTGCCCAGACCAGTGCCAAGCACCAATAGGAGAGCTGCTACAGGCTGGGCCACCTTCACTCAGGTTCCCTTAGTGGTTACCAGATGTCAATCGAGAAAAATGATGAGACCAGTCTCAATCATTTTAGGAGGCTTATTTGCCAAAGGTAAGGACTCGTGCCTGGGAGACAGGTCTATACCTTTCTCCAAAGATTATTTCGAGGGCTCCAAATTTAAAGGGGAAAGGGTGGGATATTGAGAAGTACACAAATTCAAATAAGAGGAGGGTAGGGGAAAATAGCTATTTTCTTTGTCTGGTTCAGTGAATCTGCATTTTTTTTTTAACATAAGATGACAGACAAATGGGGCAGAGGAATCTGCATTATTACATAAGGTAACATAGACAAAACATAACAAAAGGGCAGGGGAACAATCAGATATGCAATTGAATCCGGTAGGCAGGGGATGACTGCACCTGTGAAGATAAGCTATCGATTTACATTACCATGGCGAAATGTTAACAGAAACACCTTAGGGGAGAAATCTTGGAGCTCACCAGGAATTTCCTTGTGGGCAAAATATGGGGGAGGTGTGTAGGTTTTCATCGTGTAGCCCTCTTATTTAGGAACCAAAAGGGGAGGCAGGTTTGCCTGACCCAGTTCCCAGCTTAACTTTTCCCTTTGGCTTAATGAGTTTGGGGTGGCAGGATTTAGTTTCCTTTCACAGTTTGTAAGCTGGGTCTGAGGGAGCCCTGGGTCTGGGGGGGCCCTGGGCCTGGGGGTGATGGTTGGGAATCCACCATCTTGTCTCACCACTGCCAGAGACACAGATGTGGCTTCTGTTCGTAAGTCCCTATTAAATGTTTCTCTCTAAAGAACTAGATTTGCCAGCCTCTTTCTTTGGCCTCTCAGCTTCCTCTGACTTTGGGGCAGATTTGTATAGGCCTGGCCACTGAGGAACAATCACTAACGATTAGGAAAATGCAAATCAAAACCACAATATCATTTTATACCTACCAGGATGACCATAATACAAGGCTGTGAGAGGAAAGTATCTGGGGTCCCTTCAACCTGCCTCCCATTCTCATCAAAGTCATCTTTCTGCTCACTGAGACAGATGCACAGCTGACTGCCTCCTTTGGAAAGGCTGATCAGAAACTCACAAGAATGCAACTGCTCATCTCTCACCTATGTGTGACCTGGAGGCCCCCTTCCCTTTGAGTCTTCCTGCTCTTGCTTCAAGTTGTCCTGCCTTTCCAGACTGAACCAATGTTCTTCTTACATATATTGATTGATGTCTCATGTCTCCCTAAAATGTATAAAACGAAGCTGTGCCCCGACCACCTTGGGTGCATGTTATCAGGACCTCCTGGGGGCAGTGTCACTGGTGCATCCTCAACCTTGGAAAAATAAACTTTCTAAATTGAGACCTGTCTCAGATTTTTGGGTTCACGAGGTACATAAATAACAAGGGCAAGAATGTGGAAAAATTGAAACCCTCATACATTGCTGGTGAGAATGTAAAATGGTGTAGCCACTTTGGAAAACAATTTGGCAATATTTAACAATGTTAAACAGTTACCACATGAAAACTGAAGTCCACACAAAACCTTGTACATGAATGTTCATAGCAGCATCACTCATAATAGTCAAAAAATGCAAACAACCCAAATGTCAACTGATGGATAAAATGTAGTATATCCATATAATGGAATAGTTTTTGTTTTATTTAATGAAATATTCATCAGCAATAAAAAAGAACTAGCTGCTGCTGTCTGCTATAATGTGGACCTTGAGAACATTGTTAAATGAAAGCAGTCACAAATGACTCCATGTTTTGTGTTTCCATCCATACGAAACGTCTAGAACAGATAAATCTATAGAGGCAGAAAACAGATTGGTGGCTGCGAGGGGCTGAGGGAATGGAAGTGGGAAATGACTGTTTATGGGTATAGGGTTTCTTTTCGGGATGATAACATTCTCCTAAAATTAGATTGTGGTATTGGTTCCACAACACTGAAAAACCACCTCACCTTAAATTGGTGAATTTTATAGTACATGGATTAGATCTCAACAAAAACTTTTATTGAAGAAAAGATTTATCTGGAGATGGAGAGTGATGATGGTTGCATAGTATGAATATACTTAATGTCCTTAAAAATTAAGGTGATAAATCTTGTTATAAATAACAATTAAAAATGAGTTTCAATAAATTATTTGGGAACATTTGCATCTTATGCCTTAGCTTGGAACAACTTTCCTGTGAATAAAATGCTTGTGATGTGTTAAGCAACTGTGTTTATATCTGACATGAGTGACTTCCAAAATGACGGTAAGGAATTTTTTAGAAGTCAATAGCCTGACCTTAATAAGGGCTCAGATTTCTCTGGCGTGTACCTTGTGCCAATGAAGTACAGGATATTTTGTTTTTTCATCCCATCTCACGGATGAGGAAACTGAAGTTTATTGAGATAACTTATGCAAGGCACAGATGAACCTGAACACACCGTTATGTAACTAAAACCCTCACTGTTAACCACTATGCTTATATTCTGTGCCTCTCTGCTTTACTTAATTATAAAATGAAAGAGATTTAGATGATCTCTAATATCCTACCAACCTGAAATTCTTGTTTCATTACAAGAAAGCATTTCGTATATAATTGGGAACTATTCTGTATTATGTAAAAAGTTTAACCTGGCAGTGAGCTGCACTTGTGATTCTATTTAAATTGTGGGTGCATATTACCAAAGCACCTTATGGTGCTGTGTCCCAGAGGAAACCAAACATGGAACCCATTTCAATCCCCAGGCCAGCAGGCTCCTCAGACTGCAGTTCTCACTATGCCACAGCCCATCTGAGAGACACCACAGCATCTGCATAGTGATTTTTTGTTGTCATTGTTTTTGAGATGGAGTCTCACTGTCACCCAGGCTAGAGTGAAGTGCTGCGATCTCAGCTCACTGCAACCTCCATCCCCCGGGTTCAAGCGATTCTCCTGCCTCAGCCTCCCGAGTAGCTGGGATTATAGGCGCGCGGCACCACGCCCGGGTATTTTTTGTATTTTTAGTAGAGACGGGGTTTCACCATGTTGGTCAGACTGGTCTTAAACTCCCGACCACAGGCGATCCACCGGCCTCGGCTTCCCAAAGTGCCGGGATTACAGGCCTGAGCCACCGCGCCCGGGCATGATTTGTTGTCAATTTGTCATCCAAAGGACCACCAGGATGGCTGGATAGTAGACAAGAGTTTTACTGTCAATGTCAGTTTGCAAACCAGGGGGAGTCTCTAACATGAACCCAAAGTGCTATCTCAGAAGAACAGAGATTAGAGGTTTTATTTTAAAAAGAGAAATATTATTTCTCTTGGAGAAAGTTCATAGGCACCAGTAAGGGTCTGGGGAGCTCTGACTGGGGAGCGAAATCAGTCCTGGAGGTGCAAGTTATGCTGAAGCTATGCAATAAAACTGGCTTCAGGTCGGGCGCGGTGGCTTCCTCCAGTAATTTCAGCGCTTTGGGAGGCCGAAGCGGGCGGATCACTTGAGGTCAGGGGTTCGAAACCAGCCTGGCCAACATGGTTAAACCCCGTCTCTACTAAGTACAAAAAAACTAGCCGGGCTGGCGCCTGTAGTCCCAGCTTACGGGGAGGCTGAGGCAGGAGAAGCGCTTGAACCCGGGAGGCGGGGGCTGCAGTGGGCCGAGATCACGCCACTGCACTCCAGCCTGCGCGACAGAACGAGACAACGTCTCAAAAAAAATTTTTTTTCTTTATAAAAAGACAAAAACTCTGGTTTCGGGTTACAACAGGCAGCTCAGCAGCCGGCCTGACGGTGACATTCCTCAAGGACGGCCTGCCCAGTGCTTCCCCCCACCCCGCTGCTCGGCTCTGCCGTGGCTGGGTATGGCAACAACGACACATTTTTATGGTCAAGTTTCACAAATGACACACACGAACCGTCTCGCTAACACACAGCACAAACGATGACCCGAAACAGACACCAGAAAGGAAAAAAACGAGCCGCAGTGCCGGGCATGCCGGGCCTTTCTGAAGACGTCCCCATCCGTGGCTGGAGGACAGCCCGGGCGGCGGCGGGCGGCCTCGGGGCGGGTGCGTCGGGGCAGGGCACGGCGAGCCCGGGGCTTCTCAGGACCACCAGGCCGCCTGGACGCTGGGGAGGAACCCCCACTCCGACGCCGGCTAGGAGGGCACCAACCGCGCTCCACCGTGGCCAGGTCGCCGCCTCTCCCGCCGGCCAACGACAAGCTAGCGCGGCGTCTGTACGCGCGTGACGTCAGCACGCACGGCGCCAGCCCGTGCGCATGACGTCAGCACGCACGGCGTCGGTGCGTGCGCGCCCAGAGGTTCCGCCCGGCGGCAGTGCCAGCGGAGCTTGCGGGTGCGGGTGGGACCGGGTTTTGGCTGTGGGCCCGGGGGCGGCGGGGGCCGCGGAGTGAGGGGCCGGCTGAGCCCACCACCTCGCTGGGCCCTCCCTGGCGCCCGGCCTCGGGCGGCGGCGAGCGCGCGGGTCGCCATGTCGTACATGCTCCCGCACCTGCACAACGGCTGGCAGGTGGACCAGGCCATTCTCTCCGAGGAGGACCGCGTGGTCGTCATCCGCTTCGGCCACGACTGGGACCCCACCTGCATGAAGATGGACGAGGTCCTATACAGCATCGCCGAGAAGGTAGCGCGCCGGGCCCTCCCGCCCTGCTGGCTGTGCTTCCGCAGCGGCCCCGCGCCTCTGCCCCGCCGGCCTCGCCTGGGGGCGCGAGCCGTTCCCCGAGGAGGGGCCGCGGCGCGGTCGTCCGGGCGATTCCTTCCCGCGCTGCGGGCGAGCGCTCTCGGGGACTGTGCCGGCGTTTCGCGCCTTTTTCTGCAGGGAGCTCCTGTAGTTGTTCACGTTTTAAAGGGTTTATGATCCCCCTCCCCTCGAAGGAATTCATTATTTCTGTTGGTAAGGCGTTTTTCCCAATCTTACAGTGCAGTGAACAAAGTAACACTTGCAGGTTTTGAGAGCGCAGATCCTTAATTTAAAAGGATGCCCTTTTTTGGTGCCCTGTTTGTTTGTTGTATGTGTAAAGCAGAACTTTCATGTTAATAGCATAAGAAATCCTGTTTTTCTGTTGGTGTTTTCTTCCACCGCGCTTTTTGTAAGTCATGTGATTTATAGCTTAGAGTGATTAAGATGCAGAAAACATCGGGAGAAAATAGAACTATGCTTTGTTGGAACTAGTTTTCTGAATTTCTAATATTAGTACATTGAGTGGCCTTGGCACTTACTTGCTGACAATAAAAGTTGTGGGACACTATTTTATAACCAGGTTTCATTCTTTTTCTGTGGTTCCTCACAGCAATTTTAGGATGGCGTTTATTTAGGTTTTACAGCTGTAGCAATAGGGCAAAGGGCACAAATACTAGGGTGTTAATAAAATATTTGCCATATTAATTTTCCGTAAGTAATTTGAGCGGTTATTCATTTTGATGAAGAGTAAAAGTAACATTGAAGCTATCTTTTCTTTCACAGATGCTAAAGTAGGCTGGGTTAAAATAACTCCTTTGAGTAAAGAGTAACAGATATAAAGACATTTTATATTGAGGAAAGGAAAGACTGTCTGGCCTGCCATTTATTAATTCTTGCTATTTCTTATTTAGTAGGAGAGGCGTGATGTTAGGAACTGTTGTTATATTTTAGTTATTACAAGAATCTCTTGGAGTGCTTACTAAAATGCATCTGTGATTCTGAGTCTATGGGTGTGGGGTGAAGTCCAGCAATGGCTTTTTAAAGAAGCCCCTCAGGGAATTCTGATGTGACCTGACCTTGAACCACACACTCAGAAACCCTTCCATGGGGGTCAGGGACAGAGGCGGAGTGCTTTATTACCAGCCATCTCCCAGCCTCTTCCTCTTGGACAGCAGGACACTGAGGACTTGAGGAGCTGCCTAGGGAATCAGGAGAGCAGCAGTTCTCTCACACTGGGGCTTCTGCCAGCCAGGGATTAGAGATGATGAGTGAGGCAGTGCCAGCACATCAGCTTTTCATTGCTTGTAGTGGACAAGGGCAGATACTGGAAATCCAGCGAAGAATTGACGAAGAGCAGTTTCCCAATAAGTAAATCACTGCTTGTAAATCACTGACTTTGAGTTACGAGTTCTAGAATCTTTCACTGTTCTACCTTGCAGGTGGTGGCATAAACATCAGCTGGTGTTCAGATCCTGCTGCCGGCAGCTCGAGGCTAGGATGGCTGGCGATGTGAGGGCCTTTGTCTCATCACATCCAGGCAGAGCTCAGCAAGATGCTCTTAGCTAGGAAACAGATTTTATGTGTTAATGTAAGTGTTAGGGTCTTTGCCAGATTTGCTCTTTTTTTCCAATTCCTTTATGTCCGATTTCTTTGTTATTACAGAATGAATCACTGTATCACTAGTGGACACACACTTAAGGACAGTTGAAATGGGCTCACTTTGGGGTATTTTTTTTTTTTTTTTGGTCTTTTAAAATAGTTTGATTTTTGTTTCTGTCCAAAAATTTGGATTGCTTTATTAATAAACTTTTAATGCAAATATTATAGTATAATTATTAAAAGCGCAAACCTAGGCCAGGCACGGTGGTTCATATCTGTAATCCCAGCACTTTGGTTGGGAGGCTAGTGTAGGCAGATCACTTGAGCCCAGGAATTCGAGACCAGCCTGGACAATATGGTGAAACCCGTTCTCTACTAAAAGTACAAATGCCAGACGTGGTGGCACATGCCTGTAGTCCCAGCTACTTGGGAGGCTGAGGTGGGAGAATCACCTGAGCCCGGGAAGTCAAGGCTGCAGTGAGCCATGATTATACCACTGAACTCCAGCCTGGGCAACAGGAGTGAGACCCTGTCTCCAAAAATAAGTGCAAACCTGAAATGCATTAAAAGACTATTCGTGTTTTATTTTCTTCTTAGTATATGGGCAAAATATGACTTTCTAATTCTGGAAGCTCTTTTGGGGAAACTCAACAGAAATTTTTGAAATGTAAGATTTTAGTATAAAGAACAATATAACTATTTAAAAATTTCCCTGTGCAGAAATGGCAGATAATGGAGAATCTTCCTTATCTTGTTATGAGTCCTGTCGATGTCCCAGCTGTTTTAAAGTGAGTAACAGTTGCAGATGTTCGGCTGGACTTGATACGATTTTTTCCTGGATGTGTTGTATTGATCTGCTGCTTCCACAAGGCCCACTGGCCTCATGCTGGGTTAGAGCTGAGCTGTGAACTTCAGGAAGAAAGTTAGTCTGGAAACAGAGCTACACTTAAATATTTCACAGGTGCCTACAGTTTGCTAATAAGTGTGGGGCAATTCATTTGATAAAGTGATAATAATAAAGTTTTCAGCTGGGCACTGTGTCGCACGCCTGTGGTCCCAGCACTTTGGGAGGCCGAGGTGGGTGGTTCCCTTGAGCCCAGGAGTTTGAGAACAGCCTGGGCAACATGGTGAAACCTTGTCTGTACAAAAAGTGCAAACATTAGCTGGGCGTGGTGGCCTGCGCCTGTGGTCTCAGCTACTCGGTAGGGCAAGACGGAAGGGTATGAGTCCAGGAGTTCGAGGCTGTGACAAGCTATGATTGCGCCACTGCATGCCAGCCTGGGTGACAGAGCGAGACCTTGTCTCAAAAAAAAAAAAGAGTTTTCTATTTAGCAGCTGATATTATGCAGTTTTGAAGCCAGACAATTTCGTGTACCTTTGAGCTGTCTTTCCATTTTGTAGGGACACTGTCACAGCAGTGCTTTGGGGTTCACTGTCACCTAAATCCCATGATGGGTGAGAAGACTGAATGGGATATTTAAGTTTTGTGTTAAAAAGCCCACGCAGATAGAGTTTAAAGTAGCGTCAGTGAGCTGGGCACTGTGGCAAGTGCCTATAACCCCAGCTACTCAGGAAGCTCAGATGGGAGATGAGCTCAGGAGGTCAAGGCTGCGGTAAGCTATCATCGTGCCATTGCACTCCACCCTGGGTGACAGAGCGAGACCCCATCTCTAAAAACAAAACAAAAAAATTCCTCAGTAATATTATTGACTCATGATAGTACTTTTTTTTTTTTTGAAACAAGAGTCTTCTTGTGTTGTCCAGGCTGGAGTGCAGTGGCACGATCTCGGCTCACTGCAACCTCAGCCTCCCGAGTAGCTGGGACTACAAGCCTGCACCACCACCACGCCCTGCTAATTTTTGTATTTTTAGTAGAGATGGGGTCTTGCCATATTGGCCAGGCTGGTCTCAAACTACTGGCCTCAAGTGAGCCAGTCACCTCGGCCTCCCAAAATTCTGGGATTACAAGTGTGAGCCACCATGCCTGGCCCATGATAGTATATTCAAATAAATTGTGTATAAGGCAGATATATATTTATGGAACTTCATAGGAGCCATATTAGGGGGTCTATCTTAAGTATCACATTAAGGATCACAGAATGCCCATTGAACCAGTGAGAGTCAACACTCAGCTAGATGAGGAATCTTGTAGAAACTAACAGAATGGACATTTTTGGTGTTTCCTCTGGATTTTTGTCTCTGGATAAAAAACAGCCTTGTAGCTAGCAACAAAGTATGAGGGGTAGTAATGAGCGGTGGCTGAGGGTGCAGACTCTAGCTAGGCTCTTGGCACTTCATAACTGCATGAGCGTTACGAACTTGGCTCTGCGTGTCGCCTTACGTGTGTAAAGGGGATACTCGTGTGTAACTCATAGGGTTGTAGTGGGATTAATAAAGGTTTCTGGGGTACTCCTGTCACATAGGCAGTAATGCCACTGTTACTACTACGACTGCTTCTCTCACATTGCTAAGTTTGCAAGAGTTACTGTGAGAGCTGATTAAGGCAAACATTAATTTTAGAAAATCAAGTTATTCAGTTTTTTTATGGCTTTGACATGAATTACCTAAAAATGTAAAAATCAACGCTCTGGAAATTTGTTGTGCTAACAACTACCCAGAACACTTTTCCAGAATTTCAGGCATTTTCTCAGCTGGTCGAGGGACTCCACACCAAAGTGTAGACCAGTGGTGGGTGTCATGTGCCAGCCTTTAGCCGTGTGTTTTGTAGAGTTATTTCATTGGAACTTGGCAGGTGGACTTAGAGGCATGTGGAAGAACTGCTGAGCACTTTAATTGCTGACTTGCCTAAAGAAGAAGCATGCTTATGAGGTGTGTAGGCAAGAGAGTTGGAAAAGATACTTACAATTGTAGGGGATCAAAGAATTTAAAAATAATTTGAGGCCAGCGCGGGAGCTTACACCTGTAATCCCAGCAGTTCAGGAGGCCGGGGCAGGCGGATCATCTGAGGTCAGGAGTTTGAGACCAGCTTGGCCAACATGGCGAAACCCCATATCTACTAAAAATACAAAACTTAACCGGATGTGGTGGTGGGCGCCTGTAATGCCAGCTACTCGGGAGGCTGAGGTGGGAGGATCTCTTGAGGCTGGGACACAGAGGTTGCAGTGAGCCAAGATCTTGCCACTGCACTCCAGCCTGGTTGACGAAGTGAGCCCTGTCTAAAAAAGAAAAGAAAAAGCTGCCTTTGTTGAGGAAGTCACAGGATGACTTGGCAGAGCAGTGTGGCTGCACTCACCCAGCTCCTCCAAGTGCTTGACTACCGTGGAAATGTCGCCACCAGCAGATGCTGCTGGATGTTTGCTGATGTTTGCCCTCAGCTCGTGCTCCTCCAGTCACGCCACAGACACCATTTCACCAAGAAAAGGCGGGGGGTGAGGGGGCTGGGGAGCTCCCCTCTACCTGCCCCTTCCAGCCTCTCCTGTCTCAACTCCCGAGTCCCACAGCAACTTGCCTCTCTCTCCATAGCCACGCCTCTTGAAAGTTGTCCACACTGAAGACCTCTGTTCCTCAGTCCTTCAGCCCCTTCAGTGTCCCCGTCCCATCCCGTCCCCTCTGGCAACCTCTCTGGGGCACTCGGCACAGCTTCCGGGAGTCTCCTGCCTTAGTTTCTGAGGCTGCCTCCTTGGCATCCCTTTCCTGCCCCCAACTCTACAGTGGGCATCTGTGCTCACTCCCAAGCCTTTCCTGGCACCTGCTGCCCTGGCTGGGGTCACTGCTGGATGTAGGTGGCGGCGCTAAGGTAGCTCTCTCCAGCCCAGTCACTCCCTGGAGGGCCTTTTTCTCTGGATGTCCCTTAGTTTTCTCAAACTCAGTGTGTACAAAACTGAACCCTTCAATCCCTGCTTTCTTAGAAGTAAATACATGGCCCAGAATCCCAAGCAGTAAAGGCCCTCTGTGGGCCAGTCCACCTGCGCATCTGTCCCCACTGTCCTGCACCTCTGCTGCCTTGCCCTGGTTGGTGCTGGATCTGAGACCTGGCTGCTGTTCTTGTGTCTTTCTCTTTACACATGGAATTCTCTAAGGACATATTTTCCCTGCCACCCCATAACCACGCCACTGCCCCGTCTCCTGTGGGTAGGCTAATTCTGTCATGGCTTGGTGGAGGATCTGTCATCCGGAGTTCAGGCTTTGAAGCCAGACAGGGTGCATCTTAGCTCTGCCCCTTCCCCATGCAGTGGTTGGGCATCACTCACGTGACCTTTCTGAGCCTGAATTCCATCGCCTAAACCATCAGTGACATCTATTTAGAGGTGTTGAAAGAATTAGAATCCATGAGTGAGAAGTACCTCATACATAGTGGATTCTCAAGTAAATGTTCATGAAACTGGTCTGTGGTGAAATCAGAGGATATTCAAATTCTCATAGCACATGAGCTTTAGGTGGTAGTTTGCTTCTGTTAGAATTCTCGGGGTTAGATGCAGTGGGCCGGAGCCTGAAGGCAAAAGGAGAGTCACATTTGTATCTTTAAAGCTTTAAAGTTACGTTTACTCAGTTGCCCTCTGATTATTACTGTTGTTTTTGTTGTTATTTTGAGAAGGAGTCCCGCTCTGTCCTTCAGGCTGGACTGCAGCGGCATGATCTCAGCTCACTGCAATCTCCACATCCTGGATTCAAGTGATTCTCCTGTCTCAGCCTCCCAAGTAGCTGGGATTACAGGCATGCACCACCACACCCAGCTAATTTTTGTATTTTTAGTGGAGACAGGGTTGCACCGTGGTGGCCAGGTTGGTCTCGAACTCCTGACCTCAAGTGATCCACCTGCCTCAGCCTTCCAAAGTGCTGGGATTACAGGCGTGAACCACCATGCCCGGCCCTGTGCTCTGCTTATTAAATGCCTACAAATTGTTAAAAACCACAGATGGTTACAATATTTACTATTTTTTATGTGCAAGAAAAAAGATGATAAAAATTTGTTGTGACCTTTCTTTTTTCTAAAGTACACAATTTACAACCCTGTCCAAATGATATTTATTATTTGCATGGTGATTCCATAAGTTAATGTAATGTTACTGATATTTCCTGTATCTGTCCCTGAGCAAGGCATTGAAGGGATAAAAATGAAATATTATTTTGACTTTCCTAATGCCTGTGACCATTTATTTTGTTGGTGTATTTATTTTAGCTTCTGTAGGGAAGTATTTTAAGTCAAACCAAAAGACAGTTTATTAGTTTACCATGAAAATAAAGCCGGTTTCTGGCAACCTGGCCAACACGTTCTCACCTGGGCACTGCAGGAAACCAGAGTTTCAGAAATGGGCGTTGTCAGAGTGACTGTACTCAGAGGGGCCCATGTCTAATGCAGGCATCGCTTTGGCATTTTGAAAGCACATGGACGGCGAGGCACACGCTCCTGCAGTGGGCCGTGTGCCGGAGTTCCGATACGCTTTTCTTCACCAAAGCTGAAGGGCGGTGGAGTCCGTGTGAAGTGTGGGCTTTCTCACTGCCCGTTTCCCCACCCTGCTCCATGGTTTACATTTCCATCTTAATGGTTTTTTTTTTGTTTTTTTTTTTTGTTTTTTTTGAGACGGAGTCTCGCTCTGTCGCCCAGGCTGGAGTGCAGTGGCCGGATCTCAGCTCACTGCAAGCTCCGCCTCCCGGGTTTACGCCATTCTCCTGCCTCAGCCTCCCGAGTAGCTGGGACTACAGGCGCCCGCCACCGCGCCCGGCTAGTTTTTTGTATTTTTTAGTAGAGACGGGGTTTCATCGTGTTAGCCAGGATGGTCTCGATCTCCTGACCTCGTGATCCGCCCGTCTCGGCCTCCCAAAGTGCTGGGATTACAGGCCTGAGCCACCGCGCCCGGCCTCCATCTTAATGTTTTAAAAATATTTCCTAAAGTAGAGAATAGAGTGAACCCTCTGTTCCTATCGTTTGACTTCAACAATTGCTGGTATTTTGCTGGTCTTGTGTTTTCTAACCCCTCATTTTTTTAGGCTGCATGTTTCATGCAAATCCTGAATATCATTATTTCACCTGCGAATTACAGTCAGGTTGTCAGAATTGGTTTTGTATGAGGAAATGCTGTGCATATCCCATTGGTTTCCCGTGACTGCTGTGACAGGACGCTGCAAGCCGAGGGACTTAAAACAACAGGAGCTTGTCTCACAGTCTGTGCACCAGAGCCCAGAATCGAACTTGTCTCACAGTCCGTGCACCAGAGCCCAGAATCGAGGTGTTTTCCATACTGGGCTCTCTCTGAAACCCGCCAAGGAGAGTCCTCGTATGTCTCGCAGTTTCTGGTGCTGCCAGCAGCCTCTTGCAGCTCCTAGGCTTGTAGACGGCTCTGCAGTCCTCGGTGCCCCCAGGGCCTCCTGTCCCTGTGTCTTCATGGCGCCATTTTCCTGTAAGGACACCAGTCACACCAGATTAGGGGCCCACCTACTCCAGTATGACCTCCTCGCTTACCGTTTCCAAATTAGCCATGCTGTCAGTACTGGGCTTAGGACTTCAACTGTTTTGGGGACATAGTTTAACTCATAACACATATAAGTGACTACAAGCTTCTAAAGGGCATTGAATTAGTATTTATAAAGAGCCTTTAAAATGTCATATCCTTTGTTCCAGAATTTTAGGATTTGTCCTTAGGAAATAATGAAGTATGTATACAAATTTAAGGGGGAAAATATTCACAGGTGAATAATTGATATTAATGAAAAATCAGAGAGTAACAGAAGAATGGTGTAGGAGGCTCTTCTTGCATTGCTATAAAGAAATACATGAGACCGGGTAACTTATGAGAAAAGAGGTTTAATTGGCTCACAGTTCTGCAGGCTGTACAGGAAGTATGGTACCGGCATTTGCTTCTCGGGAGGCCTCAGGACCTTCCAATCATGGCAGAAGGCAAAGGGGAACAGGGACGTCGCACGGTGAAAGCTGGGGCGGAGTGTCACACACTTAAACAACCTCAGCTCACTACCCCAGGACATCACCAAGAGGATGACGCTCAACCATTGATGAGAAATCCATCCCATGATCCAGTCCCCTCCCACCAGGCCCCACCTGCAACCCTGGGAGTTACGTTTCAACCTGAGATTTGGGTAGGGACAAATATCCAAGCTATATCAAATGGTGAAGTAATGGCATAGCCATTTGATGAATCATGCGGCCACAAAAGTTTTCCGTTTTTGGAAAGTAGGTAATGTATGTAAAAGAATGCTCATAATTGGCCGGCAGGGTGGCTCACGCCTGTAATTCCAGCACTTTGAGAGGCTGAGGTGGGTGGATCACCTGTCAGGAGTTTGAGATCAGCCTGGCCAATATGGTGAAACCTCATCTCTACTAAAAATACAAAAATTAGCCAGATGCACTAGCACACACCTGTAATCCCAGCTACATGGGAGGCTGAGGCTGGAGAATAGCTTGAACCCAGGAGGTGGAGGTTGCAGTGAGCCAAGATCGTGCCACTGCACTCCAGACTGGGTGACAGATCGAGACTCTGTCTCAAAAAAAAAGAAAGCTCGGCTGGGCGCGGTGGCTCAAGCCTGTAATCCCAGCACTTTGGGAGGCCTAGACGGGCGGATCACGAGGTCAGGAGATCGAGACCATCCTGGCTAACACGGTGAAACCCCTTCTCTACTAAAAAATACAAAAACTAGCCAGGCGAGGTGACGGGCACCTGTAGTCCCAGCTACTCGGGAGGCTGAGGCAGGAGAATGGCGTGAACCCGGGAGGCGGAGCTTGCAGTGAGCTGAGATCCAGCCACAGCACTCCAGCCTGGGCCACAGAGCGAGACTCTGTCTCAAAAAAAAAAGAAAAGAAAGCTCATAATTAAAGCAGGATACAAAATATTGTACGATCACAATATGACCACAGTTTGCTATGTCTGAACAGAAATAGTATAAGCAAAATATATCTATAAGAAAGGGGGGAAAGAATATAGTAAAAATAGTGCAAGGCGTGGTGGCTCGTGCCTGTAATTGCAGCACTTTGGGAAGCCAAGGCAGGCGTATCACTTGAGTCCAGGAGTTCAAGACTAGTCTGGGCAACATGGCAAAACCCTGTCTCTACAAAAAATACAAAAATTAGCCAGGTGTGGTGGTACGTGCCTGTAGTCCCAGCTACTTGGGAGGCTGAGATGGGTGGATCGCTTGAGCCCAGGAGGCAGAGGTTGCAGTGAGCCAAGATCTTGCCACTGCACTCCAGCCTGGGCAGCAGAGCCAGACCCTGTCTCCGAAAAAAAGATAACAGCAATCACCCCTGGGTGTTGGGATTGGAGGTGATTTTATTTTCTTTTTATTTTTCTGGCTTTTCTAAATCTCTGATAAACTTGCAGTTAAAGAAGAAATAACAGGAAATGTGTTTTATTGGGGTATTATTAGTATTTGCAAGTGTTCAAACCTAACTGCAGGAAAATGATGGCAGGATTCTACAGGCATATTTTAGAGCAGCTGTGAGATGCATGTAACTATGTAAAGGTTCGTATAGATGATTACTAGATCAGCATAAATGATATATCTGTGGACGTTTTCTGCAGGACTTTCATAACTTGTCACCTGAGTGAAATTTAATTCCTAGGCAATTCTGGGAAATGGTGGCATGAGGCAGAAGGAGCCAGTGGCCAGTCCTGAAGTGTTCTGGGAAACGGTGGCGTGAGGTGGAAGGAGCCGGTGGCCAGGGTCCCGGCTATGATTGCACCACTGTGCTCTGTGGACGACAGAGTGAGACCCTGTCTCAAAAAAAAACAAAACAAAAGTTGCCCTGATCCACACAAATTCTTGGTTTTGTTTTTATAAATGTGCTTTTATAAAGTGAAAGCCAAAGTGTTCTGTTATTTCAGTTTTTTTTTTTTTTTTTAATCTCCTTTTAGGTTAAAAATTTTGCAGTTATTTATCTTGTGGATATTACAGAAGTACCTGACTTCAACAAAATGTATGAGTTATACGATCCTTGTACTGTCATGTTTTTCTTCAGGTATGTTATTTTAAAGTCGTTATTGAAACTGAATATTGTCAGTTTGGAAGTTTAATGTAACCAAGATCTCTTTATTTTATTTTGAAGGAAGTTGGTTCTACAGTCATATCCCAATAGCATTTGTATCACCAGGCAATCAGTGTGAATCTTTTAAATAATTTTCAAAGTAACAATTCTAGTTTTAGCATTTATTTAATAACAAATTATCCTTTTGAAATAACTTTGCTGGGAAACTAGGTAAAGTGTAATTCAATGAAAGACATTCTTACTGACATTTTAGATACCTTGAACTAATCTGTTCATCAAAAATGTGTTGTAAAATCACGAATTTAGGCCGGGTGCGGTGGCTCACGCCTACAATCCCAGCACTTTGGGAGGCCGAGGTGGGTGGATCACAAGGTTAGGAGTTCGAGACCAACCAGGCTAAGATGGTGAAACCTCGTCTCTACTAAAAATACAAAATTAGCCAGGCGTGGTGGTGCATGCCTGTAATTTCAGCTACTGGGAGGCTGAGGCAGGAGAATCACTTGAACCTGGGAGGTGGAGGTTGCAGTGAGCCGAGATTGCGCCATTGCACTCTGCCTAGGCAACAAGAGCAAAACTCCGTCTCAAAAAAAAAAAAAAAAACCTAATTTATTAAATACGATATCGACTTTAGTGTCCTTTTTTATATCTAAGAGGAACACCTGAACTGAATTACTTTGCTTATAAATACAAGATTATTTTATCAGCCCAGAAATTTCATTTTGGAAATTTAATGGGGAAGGAAATCACCATCTGATGCTGTTTTTGCTTGTTTAGTTACCATAGAGGTTGGTGAATTAGCTGCATGAGCATTAACCGTTCTCCAAAAGTGGAGCCTCCTGCTTGGTCAGGAAGGTCAGGTGGGTTGTACAGGGTGTGTATTAGTTTCATAGTCTTTGTAACAAATTAGCACACATTGAGCAGCTTAAATCACCCCCCTTTTCAGAGCTCACAGCTCTGTAAGTCAGACATCCAGGCAGGGCCCGCTGGATTCCTGCTCAGGGTCTCCCAAGGTCTGAACCATGGGCCAGGTGCTTCTCTGGAGCGTCTGAGGGGCTTGTTTGGGTTGTGGGCCGAATCCAGCTCTTCGTGGTGGAGAGTCTGAGATCTGCTTCCTTGCTGCTGTTACCTGAGGCCACGCTGCTGCTAGAGACCTCATCACCCTCAAAGCCAGCACCGGCATGCCGGCACGGTGAGGTATTTTCTTTTTGTTTGTTTGTTTGTTTTTTGAGACGGAGTCTCGCTCTGTCGCCCAGGGGCCGGATCTCAGCTCACTGCAAGCTCTGCCTCCCGGGTTTACGCCATTCTCCTGCCTCAGCCTCCCGAGTAGCTGGGACTACAGGCGCCCGCCACCTCGCCCGGCTAGTTTTTTGTATTTTTTAGTAGAGACGGGGTTTCACCGTGTTAGCCAGGATAGTCTCGATCTCCTGACCTCGTGATCCGCCCGTCTCGGCCTCCCAAAGCGCTGGGATTACAGGCTTGAGCCACCGCACCCGGCCATGTTGAGGTATTTTCACACAAGTTCTCTGACTTCCTGAAAAGTTCTGCCTGAGAAAATGCTCTGGTTTTAGAGGACTGTGATTAGATTAGACTTGCCTAAATAATCCAGGATAATCACCTTGTTTTATTGATTTATTGAGATGGAGTCTCACTCTGTCACCCAGGGTGGAGGGCAACGGTGCCATCACAGCATCCTTGAACTCCTGGCTTCAAGCCATCCTCTCGCCTCAGGCTGCCAAAGTGTGAGGCACTGCCGCGGTTCTGGGCATCGGGATACGCTCCCCTGGACATGCCTTAGGCTTCCTAGGCACCTCCTGTTTGGTGAGAAGATCTGTGAGGTGCACCTGCATTTCTTGTGAACTTTTGATCTTTCATAGGTTTCAGCAAAGGTTGCGTGGCCGACCCTCATCCTTTCCTCTGCCGTGCGTTCAGCAGCCATTTCTGAGTTTCAGCACCTTTGGCCATCCGGAGAGGCTCAAGAATTTATTCCTTTTGTTAACAGTTCTTACACGAATTTGCCTGTTTCCTCTCTTGAAGGCAGCACTTCCGAGACTTTGCTTGGAAGTTTCCGCAGCTAAATATCCCAAGTGTGTTGCTTTTGAGCACTGATCTCCCATAACTGCGGACCCTGTGTCCCTGTTCCTCGGCCACTCTGTAACGGGGTCCCCTTTGCTCCGTTTCCCAGTAACACACTCCTCACTTCCTTCCGAGCCCGCACCAGGCATTCCTAAAGTCCATATTCCTGTTAACAGCCTGTTTGAGGCAATAGAGGCCTTTTCTAATTCTTCAGGTGAGAACAGGGAGGGCCGTCTTAGGTCTCTGTCCCCCACAGCATGCAGCGGAGGCCAGCCTGGGGCTGGAGATGCTGTGAGGGGCAAGGAGGCTGCAGGGAACAGCCTTGGATGGAGGCTGCAGCCTACTTAGTGTAGTTTGATATTCTTAGGACTGATGCTATACTCAGAAAAGAAGATGAAACTTCCTTCTGCTGTTGTTTCTGTGATTCAGAATATTAAGACAAATGGTACTTTAGTTACCTTATGCACTAAACATGTATCTTGAGCCCCCACCAGGTCTGTGGTCTAGTGGTGGGGCCTAATATCAGATAAGGCAGGATTCCCACTCTCACAGGACTTTGTCTGATAGAAGAAACAGCTGAGTAAATTAGCAGGGAATACTGAAGAAGTGAAAGGAGGCAGGTGTTTATGAGATGTAAATACTGAAGAAGTACCCCCAAGTCAGATAGGGCTACAGGGAGGGTACTACGGGCAGCCCCAGTCAGTGTAGAAGGATCTTGGTGCGTGCTGCATGGAGCGCCGGCCTGCAGCATGGAGAATGAGAGGGCGGCCAGAGGTGGGCTCCAGACCCTGATCAGATTTGCCTTTCCTGAACCACAGACTTCACTGGGAACGCTTTCTGTGGAATAGTAGGTGGAAGCCAAATGCATGATCTTGTGGAAGTGAACGTTAAAAAACAGTCTTCAGGTGGGGCATGCCTGCCGCCCAGCCACTCTGCAGGCCGGGGTTCAAGTCCGGCCTTAGCAACATAGACCTCATCTCTAAGAAAAATAATCAGGTCGGGCGCAGTGGCTCACACCTGTAATCCCAGCACTTTGGGAGGCCAAGGTGGGAGGATCACTTGAGGCCGTGAATTTGAGACCAGCTTGGGCAACATAGGGATACCCCATCTCTACAAAAAACTAGAAATTAGCTGGGTGTGGGGGCTCATGCCTGTTGTCCCTGTTATGTAGAGGACTGAGGTGGAAGGATCATTTGGGCCGGTAGGTTGATTTTGCTGCCGTGCCCTAGCCTGGACGACAGTGAGACCCCATCTCAGAAAGAAACTTCAACAAACCAGGATAAATTTATGCCAGTACAACAAAGGGCTAATATCATTATCTTGTAAAGTGCACATAAGTATTCATAAGAAAAAGAACTAATCTCTTGAAAGATAAGTCAAGAATCATCTGCTTCCCTCACCATAAACATGCAAAATGTCATCTTCATTTCATAGTTGAAGGGCTTTTAATACAATTTATGTCAGTGCTCAGAAGAGCACCATGAAAAACACATTGTTTTTATCAGGTAAATTAGTACAAATTAGTTGGGGGTCTCGTTTTGTTATCCATGTTGGTCTCAGACTCTGGGCCTCAAGTGATCTTCCTGCCTCAGCCTCCCAAAGTGTTGGGATTACAGGCTTGAGCCACTGCGCCTGCCCTCCTTTGACCTTTTAATTTCCCCTTAGAATATTTATCCTAAATAAATACAGAAAAATGCAGGGAAAAGCGTGGTGGACGATGCATTGCATTTTTAAAAAGCACGTTTAGGTGCTTCCTGTGTTCTCCTGCATCATGGCAGACACTTTTGATTTTATGCGTTCTTCAGTGATGTTAACAAGAACTTGTAACAGTGGGAAAAATACAGCATTGTTTTCAAGGAATTCTTTTTTAAAGGGATTTTATGAGAATGGATGCCCTTGTTTCTCTTTGCAGGAACAAGCATATCATGATTGACTTGGGGACTGGCAACAACAACAAGATTAACTGGGCCATGGAGGACAAGCAGGAGATGGTGGACATCATAGAGACTGTGTACCGCGGGGCCCGCAAAGGCCGCGGCCTGGTGGTGTCCCCCAAGGACTACTCCACCAAGTACCGTTACTGAGGCACCTCAGTCTGCGCGGATAAGATAAACGTCCTGGAGCCGTTTTTGTGCGGAAATGTTTTAAGCTATTTAAAGCCTTTGGAAAATACAGGAAGCTCGAGGGCTGGAGGACCTCTGAGATGGAATTGATTACATGGTCTTAACTCACCAAAATAAACAAGCACGTGGTGAGAGGAGCAGGCCTACTTGTTTGTTCTCAGGAAACTTGATGAATAGATGACTGATATTTCCTAGTCAAAGTTAATTCTTATCCTTGGAGTAAAACGAAGGTGTTTATCCTGTGAGGTTGTGCATTTTGCATACTTGATTAGTTTGCTAGGGCTGCGGTGACAGCCTGCCGAGAGCTGGGCCTTAATGGAGAAGCTCTCACAGCTTTGCAGGGCTGGGTCCGAGATCGGGCGTCGCAGCTTTGCAGGGCTGGGTCTGAGATCGGGCGTTGCAGGGTGGGTTACTACTGAGGCCGTGAGGGTAGTCTGCTCAGGCCTCTCCCTGGCTTCTGGGGGCTGCTGGTGGTCTTGTCAGTTCCTTGGTGTGTGGATACTTCTCCCCATCTCTGCCTTCACCTGTGTCCTCCCTGTGTGGGTGCTGGTCTCCAAAATTTCCCCTTTTTGTAATGACACCATCTGTGTTGGATTGGGGCCCACCCTGCTCCAGCGTGGCCTCATCTTAACTGATTACATTTGCAAGGATCTTATGTCTACAAAAGTCACAGTCCGAGGTGCTGGGGGTTAGCACTTCAATATATAAATTTTGGGGTTACACAGTTCAGTCCATGCAGAACCCAAAGGCTTACTCTTACTCTGGTTATAAAGACGGTAAAATATTGTTCAGAGCCTTCCCTGTAAGGAATAGAAGAGCTATTTTTTATTCTTCCCAAGATTGTATTTGATGGAAACATATTTTCTGTAGAAGCCATGGCCCTTCAGTTCATATAGTTAGAAAATTTCCTTATTGGCCGGGCACGGTGGCTCACGCCTGTAATCCCAGCTACTTAGAAGACTGAGGCAGGAGAATTGTTTGAACCCGGGAAGTGGAGGTTTCAGTGAGCCGAGATCATGCCACTGCACTCCAGCCTGGGCAACAGAGCAAGACCCCGTCTCAAAAAAAGAAAAGAGAAAATGTCCTTGTTACAGTCTGAGGTTTCTCTTGCCCTCTCTCCTAGCAGTGTGGATGGTTGGTTGGGAGCTTCATGTCCCGTCTCAGCACACTCAACGCTCTGAAGTGAAAGTGAGGAAGGGTGGGGATGGGGGCACCTGAGCACACCCTGGGCCCTCTGACCTCAGACCCAGGCTCTGCCCCACCAGGTGACCTTGGGCACCTTCTCTGAGCTTCCATTTTCTCCTTGGTAAAGGCGGGTAATAGTGTCTGCCTTGCACACAGATGTGAACACGGAAGCACATGGTGCCTGCGGGGCACAGCAGTGGTGCACAGGCTCACTGCTGTCGGGAGATTGGTCGCTGTTGTGAAAACAGGAGGTTACTTACAGCATGAAGCACATTTTTTTCCATACACTACAAATGAGTGTGTGCTTTTTGGATTTAAAATTCAAATGCAAATCTCTAGTTTAATCTCCCATGTGCTGATTTTTGCATGTATAAAGGAGGAGAGTGTTAACACCATACCAGAGTGAGGGGCTAGGGAGAACATGTATGTGACCTCGAGTACCTGGCATGTAACAGACACTATTTTTTTTTTTTTTTTTTTTTTTTTTTTTGAGACGGAGTCTTGCTCTGTGCCCCAGGCTGGAGTGCAGTGGCGCGATCTCGGCTCACTGCAAGCTCCGCCTCCCCGGGTTCACGCCATTCTCCTGCCTCAGCCTCCCGAGTAGCTGGGACTACAGGCGCCCGCCACCTCGCCCGGCTAATTTTCTTGTATTTTTAGTAGAGACGGGGTTTCACCGTGTTAGCCAGGATGGTCTTGATCTCCTGACCTCGTGATCCGCCCGTCTCGGCCTCCCAAAGTGCTGGGATTACAGGCTTGAGCCACCGCGCCCGGCCTCAGACACTCAGTATTATACTCCGGATATTTCTCCAGAGCAGGTGAAACAGACGGCCAGGAAGCGCACAGAAAGACATCACTGCTTATTAAGGAAGTGCAAATCAAAACCACAGTGAGACGCCACTTCACACCCACGAGTGCGGCTAGATACAAAACATAGATCACAATAAGCGTTTGCAAGGATGTGGAGAAATTGGAGCCCTCACACACTGCTGGTGGGAAAGTGATAACAGGCAGGTCGGTCATCAAAAAGTTAAACAGACTGGGTGCAGGTGTCTCAAGCCTGTAATCCCAGCACTTTGGAAGGCTGAGGCAGGCAGATTGCTTGAGCCCAGGAGTTCATGACCAGCCTGGGCAACCTGGTGAGATTCTGTCTCTACAAAAACTACAAAACAATTAGCTGGGCATGGTGGTACGTGCCTGTGGTCCTAGCTACTTGGGAGGCTGAGGCAGGAGGATCACTTAAACCCAGGAGGTCAAGGCTGCAGTGAGCCATGGTTGTGCCACTACACTCCAGCCTGGGCAACTCAGCAAGACCCTGTCTCAAAAAAAAGAAAAGATAAACATGGTGTTACCGTTTGACCCAGCAGTTTCATACCCAGGAGAATTGAACGCGTGTGTCCACACAGAAACTCGTACACAGAAGCCAAAATGTGGAAACCAAGTGTCCCTCTACAGATGAATGGTTAAACAAAATGTCCATCTGTAGAACGGAATATTATTCGGTCATAAACAGAATGCAGTACTGACACATGCTACAACGTGGGTGAACATTGAAATCATTAGGTTAAGTGAAAAGCCAGTTACTATATATTGTGCAATTCCATTTATACGGAATTTCTAGACTAGGCAAATCCATAGAGACAGTTGAGTGGTTGCTTAAGACTGGGAGTGGGGGGAAATAGGAGGGGACAGCTAATGGGCAGTTTCAGTTTTGACATAATGAAAACGTACTTACATCAGCAGAGCAGGCAGAAAACGTGCCCTAAGACGGTGGTAATGGTACACTTCTGTCAATGGCATAATTGGTGGATGATGTGTGAGTTATGTCTCTTGTTGATAACAGCTTCATTGGCTGTTACCAGAAAAAGATAAAACAATTACATCCCACATTTGTAAGTTCATCGTGTATTTATTGTAAACGTGTTGCGTATTGTATTAGTCTGCCCAGGACCTGCCATAACAAGCTTCAGATTGGGTGGTTTAAACAACACAGTTGTTGTCTGGAAGTCCCAGATCAAGGTGCCGGTCCATGTGATTTCTGGGGAGGGCTCTCCTTGGCTTGCCGATGGCCGCCTTCTCTGGGGCAGGCACAGGAGGAGAGCAGGTGAGCCCCTGGTGTGTCTTCTCAGACGAATCCTGTTGGATGAGGACCCCACCCTCAGGACCCCTGTAACCTTAATGACTTCTGTAGAGGCCCCATCTCCAAACACAGTCATGCTGCAGTTAGGTCTTCAGCTGTTCAGGGAGACATAGACGTTCAGTCTGTAACTCCTATCAGGTGTAGTAAGTATGTTCACCCTTGATTTTAATAACTTTCTCATTGGTGCTTTGTGGCTGCAGTGCAGTTGAAATCATGATTTTAACTCTGTATTTCAAGTTTGTCTCATTATGTACCTACTGTCTACCTTGCCCTGACCTAAGTGCTTTGCAAGCAGTTTTCTTAAATCCTTACAACCACCTACCAGGTAGATATTTTGCAGAGAAGAAAACCAAAGCTTAGATTTCCCCAGGTTACAGCCAGCAACAGAGGCTAAGAATTTGAAACCTACGCCTGCATGGCTGCCAAGCTTTGCCTTGTCTGTGGCACTGTGGTGCTTTAGTCAGGTTGGATTAACTGCCTTCTCTGTGGCACTGTGGTGCTTTAATCAAGTTGGATTAACTCGAGGCTCTCTGGGTACCTAGTGAATTCTATGTCCCATCTTCCCAGGATGGCTTCTAGGCAAAGTCCAGAAATTTCTTGTGGCAGCTAATGCAGGCGACAAGCCCCTAGGTACAGAATAACCAAGTCCCCTAGAGAAACTGGCAACGTGTACACAAAGAAGTAGACAAGAGTAGTGCAGCATTGTTTGGAAACAATACTAGTCAAATACAAAGTAAATCATCAGAGGACTGTTAGGCAGCAGTTAGTGACTGACCTAGAGCCACACGTGTCGACGTGAATCTCAGTACTGAACAAAAAAGCAAGGGGCAGAAGGCTACATAGAGTGTGGGGCCGCTGTCACACTGCTTTAAGACTTTCAGAACAAACGTCAGAAGGTTAAGATGCCAGTGTGTCTGCAGGAAACCTGGTTAGGCGTCTGGGGGAAGATTGCCTCTGCTCTGAGCTCACAGAGAAGGGATGAGGACTTCAGTCCCCCAGCAGAATCAGAGCGCTGCCATCTCTGCCCACCTGAACAGACCACACCCAAAAATTACAATGCAGGGTGAAGTCACGGCTCACCAGCTTTCTGACCTGGAGGTTCAGAGGGTCCCTGGGGAAGATCTGCATGGGCACAGGTGGGAGGACCTGTTCTACGTGGGCGCTATTCTGAATCGTTTTTTCTATGTCGTTTTTACCAATGGCTTTAAATGTGCCTCTGATCCTAGCCTGCTTTTGTGGCGTGTTTACATTCAGCATCAGAAGCTGTGAGAATGCAGTGCCCTCATGAGGTTCCGGTTGCACTGGGTGGCCTGAGATGCCCTGCAGAGAAGGCACTTTGGGAGGCCGAGGCGGGTGGATCACCTGAGATCAGGAGTTCAAGACCAGCCTGGCCAACGTGGTAAAACTCCGTCTCTACTAAAAATACAAAAATTAGCTGGGTGTGGCCTGGCATGGTGGCTCACGCCTGTAATCCCAGCACTGGGAGGCCAAAGCGGGTAGATCACCCGAGGTTGGGAGTTTGAGATCAGCCTGGCCAACATAGTGAAACCCCGTCTGTACTAAAAATGCAAAAATTAGCTGGGTGTGGTGGCGCATGTCTGTCGTCCCAGCTACCTGGGAGGCTGAGGCAGGAGAACGGCTTGAACCCGGGAGGTGGAGGTTGCAGTGAGCCAAAGTCATGCCATTGCACTCCAGCCTGGGCGACAGAGCAAGACTCCACCTCAAAAAAAGAAAAGAGCATTTGGAAATTTATTCCTGGCAGTTTTCGGGCAGCACAGAGGCAGCAATTCCCATAGTGAACAAATACGGGATTGTATGTTTCAAGATGAAAGCAATCAAAAGATATGCAAAAGGTTGATATAGTTTCCCAATAACCTTACCATTTGTTGTTTAATAGAATTTTCAATGCCAGCTTGCACCATTAAGTCACTGACATTCTTCTGTAAGTCCTCGATGCGGTTTCCCATTTCTTCCAGTGCAGTGTTAAGGAGTTCTGTGTAGAGCCGTGGGGGCACAGCCAGGATGTCCTCAGAGACCCCGCCTCCCATGGCACCTGCCGTCACCATGCTCATGCCAAAGCCACGGCAGATGCAACTTTTAAAACGAGGGAATCAACGACAGGCCTAGTGTCTGTGCAAATCAGCTTCTTTCCCTGAGTTTTCCTCAGTGTGTCCCTTTAACCTTTAAACCGTGAGCTTAGAAAACGTGGCTCCCTTTGCTTGGACATGGATTTGGGGACAGGAGATCGGTGTATTTTAGTCAAACTCTGGGTGTGTAAAAATAACTGTAATGGAAATTAACTCTTTTTTGTTTGTTCGTAGGGTCTTGCCCTGTCCCTAGGCTGGAGTGCAGTGGTGTGATCACAGCTCACTGCAGCCCTGAACTCCTGGGCTCAAGCGATCCTTCCGCCTCAGCCTGTTGAGTAGCTGGGACTATAGACTACCACCCAGCTGAAATTAACTCTTGAAAAAACTAACATTCATATGGTTTAATTTTATGTTTAAGACTCATTTTTGTTCTGTGGGAACCCATTTACAAAATCTAAAGTTGCAAGCACACAATATTGAAGGAATACATTTAGTTGTGTAGCATGAGCTCAAATTGGGCGAGTCTTGGGGCAGTTGTTACCCTCATCTAGATTTGCTCCAACTCCAAAAAAACATTCTATTCTCATTCTGTTTGATTTCATGTTTCTGAGACAAAACAGTGAGTTGATGAAGTTAAACGAAACCAAGCTTGGGAGAGCCGTATCTCGGATCCGGCCCTGGAGCCTTCAGTGTTACCCTCTGTGGGGTCTGATTCCGTCTGAGGGCCTGTGGTCTAGGGTGCACTGTCCGGGGGGACTGATGGAAGCCCCACTGGGAAGTGTTGCATGTTTGGGTTCTTGTCCTTTATACCTGCCGCACAAGACACCCTGTGTTGCCAGTCAAGCAGGAGGTGAAGCTTTTTTTAGAGAGAGTCTCGCTCTGTCGCCCAGGCTGGAGTGCAGTGGTGCGATCTCGGCTCACTGCAAGCTCCGCCTCCCGGGTTCCCGCCATTCTGCCTCAGCCTCCCAAGTAGCTGGGACTACAGGCGCCGCCACCACGCCCGGCTAATTTTTTTGTATTTTTAGTACAGATGGAGTTTCACCATGTTGGCCAGGATGGTCTCGATCTCCTGACCTCGTGATCCGCCCGCCTTGGCCTCCCCAAGTGCTGGGATTGCAGGCGTGAGCCACTGAGGCCGGAGGTAGAGCTTTGGCTACAGGTGAGGGGTAATTAACACATCAGGAAGCCACCGTAAAAGCACAGAAGTAAATACTGGGAAATCCTGTAAGTAAACTATTACCTACTACTAGCAGACAACAAAAAGACACTCCATGACAATCTACCAGTCCGAAAGAGTCAAGGCATTTGTTAAAGGTAGAAAAGGATATTTCTGAGGTTTAATGTTGCAGTCAGAGCTTGAAAATGTTCCTGAAGTTCCTGAAATAGATTTTCTGCCTGAAAAATAAACCATAAGACAATTGAATAAATATTCACTATTGGCATATGACTTTTTTTTTTTTTTTTTTTTTTTTGAGATGAGGTCTTGCTTTGTTGCCCAGGTTGGAGTGCAATGGTGCGATCTCAGCTCACCACAACCTCCGCCTCCCGGATTCAAGTGATTCTCCCACTTCAGCCTCCCTAGTAGCTGGGATTACAAGCGTGCGCCACCACGCCCAGCTGATTTTTGTACTTTTAGTAGAGACGGAGTTTCACCATGTTGGCCAGGCTGTTCTTGAACTCATGACCTCAGGTGATCTGCCTACTTTGACCTCCCAAAGTGCTGGGATCACAGGCATGAGCCACCACACCCGGCCCACGTATGACATTTTAAATATCATGGGATAAACCCTTCCATAAATCTGTTGACTTCAGACAAAGGTGCCAAGGGCTTTGGATTCAGAGGGAAAGTCTTTTTTTTTTTTTTTTTTTGAGACGGAGTCTCGCTCTGTCACCCAGGCTGGAGTGCAGTGGCCGGATCTCAGCTCACTGCAAGCTCCGCCCCCGGGTTCCCGCCATTCTCCTGCCTCAGCCTCCCGAGTAGCTGGGACTACAGGCGCCGCCACCGCGCCCCGCTAGTTTTTTTTGTATTTTTAGTAGAGACGGGGTTTCACCGTGTTAACCAGGATGGTCTCATTTCCCAAATGGTCTCGGCCTCCCAAAGTGCTGGGATTACAGGCGTGAGCCGCCGCGCCCGGCCGGAAAGTCTTTTCAACAAGTAGCGCCGGAATCATGAGGGCCAGGTGCAGACTGGGCAGGGACCCGTCCCCCTCCTCACCCCACACACCATGAATGCAGGAGGATCACACCTTGGCCCAGAGCCAGACCATAAAGCATGCAGAGGAGGACGCAGGTGAAAATCTCGTGACCCTGCGCTCAAGAATTCTTCTAAAATTACTTACCAGGTTATACAGAAATATCACCATTGCTACTTAAAGCGTTTCCTGTTTATATACCGCTTTGTAGTTTACAGACTGGTGTCCCACACCATTCATGGTGTAATCCACTCCTCACACCCTGCGACTGTGTCCAGGGTGAGATGAGAACAGTGAGGCTGAGAAGCACAAAATTCTCCCAGCTGGGGGTTCAAGATCCCAGGGAGCCCCACGTACCATGGTGTGAATCTAGAATCCCGTGGACATAGGAAGAGGCCCCACCTCTGAACCATGCCAGGGCTTTCTACCCTTGTCAGGAAATTTACATGAGGGTTTGCACAACGCCCAACGCATTCCTGCAAATTCCAGCTCTCTTCCTCATAGCCAGTCTTCCTGTGGGCCTGGAACTCTTGGCAAGTAGGAAAGCCCGGGGGGCGGGAGGATTTCCGGGAAGAGGCCGGAGCCCTGGGCGCTGCGACACTCGTGGGTCGCCTCTGAAGGGGCCTTCGGGCACCCTTTGCCCCAGCTGTTTCCCCACCGACCCGACCTCAATGCCCCCCAGAACTGCAGGGCTCCCCCCAGGACCTCAGGGCCCCAGGAGGACCGCAGGGCACCCCCAGCACCGCAGGCTCCCCTACCAGGACCTCAAAACCCCCCAGAACTGCAGGGGCGCCCCCAGCCAGGGAGGAGCAGGAGTGGGGGAGGGGCTCACCGCATCCCGCAGCGCGCGCCCGCCGGGGGCTTCAGGGCCCCGCGCGTCCATGTGGACCGTGGGCCGGGAGCTTCAGGGGGGTCCCGTGGGCCGCGCGGACCCGGCGCGAGGTGGCGGCAGCTGAGCTCCGCGATTCCTGTGCAGGCCGCCGGGAGGCCTCGGGCGGAGCGCGCTGCGTTCCAGGGCGGAGGCGGAGGCGGAGCCGGAGCGGGGAGGCGGGCGCTGCACCTGCCGGGACTCAAGTCACTGAGGGGCCGCCTGGGAGGACTCGTCCGCGGCCTCAGGCTCCGCGCCTTCCCGAGCCGAACCGAACCGAACCGAGCCGAGCCGAGGCCCCGGGACGGCCTGGACCGAGCTGCGTCACTCAGGAGGGCCCGTGGGCGCCACCGGCACCCCCAAAACCCTCCGCACGGGCGATGCATGGGCCTCGGTCACCCCTGCTGCGTTTTTCAGAGACGGGGTTCGCTCTGTGGCCCAGGCTGGAGTGCAGGGGCGACCACGGCTCCCCGCAGCCTCGACTTCTCAGGCCCAAGCGATCCTCCTGCCTCGGCCTGCGCAGCAGCTGGGACCACGGGCGCGCGCCACCGGGTCCGGCTAATCTTTTTTATTTTTTGTAAAGACCGGATCTTACTATGTTGCCCAGGCTGGTCTCGAATTCCTGGGCTCAAGTGATCCTTCCGCCTCGGCCTCCCAAAGCGCTGGGACCGCCCGCCTGGGCCACCACGCCCGGCCTTCCCTGGCCTCTTTCACACCTGAGTTGTGGCTCATGAGTCACCTTGTGACCTCCTCTCCCCCGACAGTGTTTTAGGGTTACCGGTCTTGTTGCGGTGTCTATGCCCCTGTGCAGCGCTGTGGGAGCAGGGCTGTGTCTGGGTTACCCCAGCATCCCCAGGGCCCAGCCCAGTGACCACACCTGGAAGCGCTGGTGTCTAAATGTGCGGATAAATAAAACACAGCCACCCAGCATCACCGCTGTGGAGTGACAGTCCCCGCCAGGTTACTTCAGGGCGGATATCTGTGGCCTGAACCCCAAAGGCCAGGCGGTGAGTCCAGGCCACGGTGCCCAGCGAGGAGCAGGTGTCCCCGAAAACCCAAACACCCCAGAGGGGATGTGAGAACCACCGCAGAGAGCAGGCCCATCACACAGACGGGCGCAGAGGCAGGAAATTAGCTCAAACGCAGCTTAGGGAAGGAAGCACGCCCATCTCTACTGCTGTCGTGCTGCCCACGAGTGCCCCATATGTGAGTTCTGATAAACTCACCAAGCTGGACTCCGCCCAGTCGTTCTTTGGTCTCTCGGCAACTCCTACTTTGGGGTAAGGTTTTAAATGTGATTCTCGGTTTTTCTCATTACAAGTGGTCATCAGGAAAACACAAACCAAAACCACAGTGAGCTCCCACTGCACCCCACCAGCATGGCTAGAATCAGAGACAAACGTAAGTCCGAGAGGCGTGTGGGGACTGTGGCCCCGCACGCGGCTGGTGGGGCTGTGAAAGGCTGCAGTGCTGGGGAAAAGGTGGGTGGGTCCTCAAAAGTGAAGCAGTTTCCACAGGGCCCAGCCGCCTCACTCCAGGCATATACGGAGAGAAACGACTCACAAATGCACCCATTCTACTGCAGCGTCGGTAATGCTCAACAGGCGGAAACCACCCAAATGTCCACCCCCTGGTAAGTGAGTAACAAGATGCAGGTGATAGAATATTCCTCAGCCACACAAAGGAGTGAGGCGCTGACGCACGCTATGAAGTGGGTGGGCCTTGGGGACAATGCTGGGTGGCAGAGGCCAGGCGTGAAGACCCTGCGTGGTAAGTGCATGTGCTGGTGAGTTGACTGCTGTTGGTGAGGCTACAAGGACGAGGGAGAGACTTAGGAGGTCCGGGTTTCTTTGTAGGGGGACAAAAATGTTCTACAATTAGATCGTAAGAACGTTGCACAACCCTGTGAATATACTCAAAACTGTTCAATTAGGCCCTTTAAATGGGTGGATTTTGTGGTATGTGAATTATATTTCAATGAAGCTGTTAAAATAATTTTTTAAAAGCATGACCGTTTTGCCACTTTTTGTGTCCTTTTAGCACCCTCCTCTTTTTTCTGTCTCTGAGAGAGGCTGAGATACAAATGCAGTTGTAGGGGCCAGTGTGGACGGTTGAGAAAGACATGGTGTGGTGGAAAGTGGCTGCTGTGCTGCGGCTCCCGGCCCTCCCCCCGGACCATTCAGGCCTAAGGAATCCTGCCCGGCGGCTTCTGGCTTCTCAGGGAAGCCAGCGTGGGTGGGTGCTGAGGAGGAGGAGGGGCCAGAAGATGCCACAGTGCAGGGTGGACGGCCTGCACCCAGGAAAGCCTGCCTGGCATGGGGGGCAAGGAGTACAAGCTGGTGGTGTTTCCATCAGAAACACACCTCATTGTCAAGAACCAGAAGTCGCTCAAACTAACTCAAGGGAAAAACAGGAAATGACTCCTGTGGAGAGGAGGCGGACACAGGGGCTGGCGTCAGCCCCTCCGGGCTCTTCAGAGGGTGCTCATCTCTGGAGGCGGGAGGAGCTGGGCATGGTGCCCCACGGCAGGGCCACAACAAGGTTCCTCATCAGCCCACAGGCAACTTTCCTAACCACAAACAACTAAACGAGCAGGGAGCCAGTCAGACTGCCCTCCTTCCTCCCTTCCAGAAAGTTCTAGAACGCCCACCCTTCTCTTACTCTGCAGGCACTGAGCTCGAGGCGAGGCCGGAAGCTTTACTCCCCAGACAGCCCAGCATCAAGCTCATGGCTTCAGGGGACGGCTCTCTCGCGGTGGGGGCAGACGCAGACCCAAGGGCTTTCAGCGTCTCCAGGGCGGGGCTGCTGCTCCTCCCTTGTTCAGGCAGAGCAGGGGCCACAGAGCTCTCGACAGCACTGAGCTCACCAGTGATAAAGCACTTCGGACATCCGTGAAGGCAGACTGGCGTCGGGACTGTGGAGAGCTTGTGGGCACCCCGTGGAGCCGGTCATCTTCAGGTGTTGACTGGCTGACCCTGGGTGCAGGTTCAAGCTGGGCACCCTCTCCTCACGGGCTGTGCTTTCCTAACCAGACAGCTAAACGAGGGAGCCCCACCGGCCCACAGGAGCCTGGAACTGGCCGTGCAGAAGACGAGATGAGCCTGCCTCTGACCTGGGAACGCCTCTCTCCTCTCCAGCCGGCATCGGCCAGTCCCTCCGGCCCGGGCTGCTCTTTCAGGTCAGGCTTCTGGGACAGCGCGAGTAGGAACACCCAGCATTGCTGCACACAGCAGCCCCAGGCCCCACCAAGATAGGCCAGGTGGTCTGGTCTGGGAGATGACAGGACTGCCTTTCTTTTTTATGAGATTGGGTCTTGCTGTGTCACCCAGGCTGGAGTGCAGTGGTGCAATCATAGCTCACTGTAGCCTTGCACTGGGCTCAAGGGATCCTCCTGCCTCAGCCTCCTGAGTCGGTGGGACTATGGAGGCACACCACAATGCCCAGCTACTATTTTTTATTATTTTTCTAGAGATAGGGATCTCCCTATGATGCCAGGGCTGGTCTCAAACTCCTGAGCTCAAGTGATCCTCCCACCTCGGCCCCCAAAGTGCTGGTCTTACAGGCATGAGGCCACACTGACTAAGGACTGGCTTTCGAACAAAGCTCTTCAGCTGGATCTGATGGAGACAACACAGGACCACCCTTCAGGAAGCAAAGCTTCAAGAAGCCTGGTATGCCCCCCTAAGAAAGGAGTAGGGGTCCCACAGAGGGGTCCAGGATCCCTTGCTGAACTGGGAAAACTGAAGGTTCGGGCTGGAGGTGGCCATGAGGTGGGGATCATGGCAGTAAGCAAGGGGAGAGCAGGATGGCAAGTCGCTGCACGAGAGGCATTTCTAAGGCAGATGCTGGAGGTGGAGCCATTGGAGGAGGCGGCAAAGTCCTCCATGTGGCCGGGGAAAGAGGTGGTTGGGCCAGGACAAAGTTCACTGCAGTAAGGGGGTCAAGATCCAGGTGGTTAAAACAGCACATCTCAGGCTCTCCAGCCACAGCACCTAACCACGGTGGGAGCGTGTGAAAATACACTCCTGGCGCCTCCAGAATCTACTCACGGCACTCGCCAGAGCTGAGGAGTCTGCATTTCCAGGAGCTCGGCACACAACGTCTGTGCATGCCAACGAGCCTTCACGGTTCTGGGCCTGCGTGGAAGTCAGTGCAATGCTGGCAGGGCTCGGAGGAGAGAAAGGAAGGCTTAGCCTTGTGTGGGCTGTGGGGGTGCCACAAAGCTCCCAGGGGCTCCGAGATGGTCAGGAGAGAGTAGGTGGGAGACAGAGGAAGGTGTGTTCTGTGTGCCCAGGGCAGGAAAGGGTTCACAGAGGGAAATGTCTAAATGCCATTGCCGGAAGAAGAACTGATGCTATTTCCCATGTTCTCATTAAACGCAGACAACAACCCACATACGGCAAATGTCGCTATCCACCTGACACACGCAGGATGGGGTTTGGAATTCAAACGCACTGACTCTCAATTGTGTTGTCTGAGGTCACTGGACAGTGTCAGGAGCTGGGGGGCTGCCAGGGGATCCAGGGCCAGCATGGAGGGGCCGCCATCTTCCCTGTCCTGGCCAGCCCCAAGGACCAGCAGAAGATACAGGCAGGACAGAGGCCACTGCCACCCGGGCCCCACTCTGCCACCCCTCCCTCGTTCTGTCTGTGGTGTGTGAAGGTGCCTGGGAGCCTTCGTTCTTAAAGGTCTGTGGGAGGCCAGGAATCTGGGCCTGAGGTGGACCCACACAGGAAAAAGTGGAGAGGCAGTAGAAAAAAACATAGGAGAAAAACTTCATGACACTGGATTTGACAATGAGTTTTTGAATATGGCACCAAAAGTACAGGCAACAAAAAAATTAGACAAATTGGACTTCCTGAAAATTAAAAACTTTTGTGCATCAAAGGACACTATCAATAGAGTGAAAAGTGTAATCCCAGCACTTTGGGAGGCTGAAGCAGGCAGATCACCTGAGGTCAGGAGTTCGAGACCAGCCTGGCCAACATGGTGAAACTCCGTCTCTAAAAATACAAAAATTAGCCAGACGTGGTGGTGGACACCTGTAATCCCAGCTACTCGGGAGGCTGAGGCAGGAGAATCACTTGAACCTGGGAGGCAGAGGCTGCAGTGAGCCGAGATCATGCCACTGTACTCCAACCTGGGCAACAGAGTGAGACTCTGTCTCAAAAAAAAACCCAAAAAACAAAAGCCAAACAACAACAACAACAACAACAACAACAAAATAGAGTGAGAAGATAATCCACAGAATGGGGAAGATACCGTAGATTATGTATCTGATGCGGAATTGATGTCCAGGATATATAAAGAACTCCTGCAATCTAGCAACAAGACAAACAAGCAACCTGATTCAAAAATGGGGAAAGACAAAGCAATCTACAGATTTGATGCTATTTCTCTCAAACTATCAATGTTATTTTCACAGAATTAGGAAAAAACTACTTTAAAATTCATGGGGAACCAAGAAGAGCCGGAAGGGAAAAAGCAAACCTAAGCAAAAAGGACAAAGCTAGAGGCACCACATTACCCAACTTCAAACTACACTACAAGGCTACAGTAACCAAAACAGCACAGTACTTGTACAAAAATAGGCACAAATCAATGGAACAGAATAGAGAACCCAGAAATAAAGCTGCACATCTAGAACTAACTGATCTTCGACAAAGTCAACAAAAATAAGCAATTGGAAAAGGACTCCCTTATTCAACAAATGGTGCTGGAATAGCTGGCATGCCATTTGCAAATAATTAAACTGGACCCCTACCTCTCACCACATATAAAAATTAACTCAAGATGGATTAAAGATTTAACTGTAAGACCTCAAGTTATAAAAACTCTAGAACAAACCTAGGAAATAGTTTTCTGGACATTGGCCTAGGCAAAGAATTTATGACTGAGTCCTCAAAAGCGATTGCAACAAAACCAAAAATTGACATCTGGGACCTGCTTAAACTAAAAAGCTTTTGTACAGCAAAATAAACTATCAACAGAGTAAACAGACAACCTACATAATGGAAGAAAATATTTATAAACTATGTGTCCAACAAAGGACCAATATCCAGAATCCATAAGGAACCCAAAATCAACAAGAAAAAAAAAAACTTCATTAAAGGACAAAAGACATTGAACAGACACTTCTCAAAAGAAGATACACAAGCAGCCAACAAGCATGAAAAAATGCTCAACATTGGAGAAATACAAATCAAAACCACAGTGAGGCACCAACAGATGTTGGTGAGGCTACAGAGAAAAAAGGAAACACTTATACATTGTTGGTGGGAAAGTAAATTAGTTCAGCCACTGTGGAAAGCAGTTTGGAGATTTCTCAAAGAACTAAAAATAAAGGCCGGGCGCGGTGGCTCAAGCCTGTAATCCCAGCACTTTGGGAGGCCGAGGTGGGCGGATCACAAGGTCAGGAGATCGAGACCACAGTGAAACCCCGTCTCTACTAAAAATACAAAAAATTAGCCGGGCGCGGTGGCGGGCGCCTGTAGTCCCAGCTACTTGGGAGGCTGAGGCAGGAGAATGGCGTGAACCCAGGAGGCGGAGCTTGCAGTGAGCCGAGATCACGCCACTGCACTCCAGCCTGGGCAACAGCGTGAGACTCTGTCTCAAAAAAAAAAAAAAAAAGAA